TTCTTTACTTATTTATTGAATTTTGGTGCTGGACGTTGATACCCAGGTCTTCACACATGCTAGGCTCTAGCACTGAGCTATATTTCCAGTGCTAAATATTGTTGATTGTTGTTTTAAGTCAACATGTCTTGGGGGTAATTTGTATGTAGGTTGATCACTGAAATGATGCTCTTTTTCTTTTTTAAAAAAATTTTTTTGTTGTATATGGACATAGTACTTTTATTTATTTATTTTTATGTGGTGCTGAGGATTGAACCCAGTGCCTCACACATGCTGGCAAGTGCTCTATCACTGACCTACAACTGCAGCCTCATGAAATAATGCTATTTTTCATACCTTGTATTCCTGCATGCTCTTTTTATGTTTTGTTTCATGTTGCTAATATTCACTTACCTTTTTAAATGTTTATTATGCTAATTAAAAAAATTTTTGGTACTGGGGATTGAACACAGGGGTGCTTTGCCACTAAGCACATCTCCAGCCCTTTTTTGCTTAATTTTTATTTTGAGATAAGATCTCACTAAATTGCTTAGGGCCTTACTAAGTTGCTGAGGTCGTCCTTGAACTTGTGATCCTCCTATCTTAGACTCCCATGTCTCTAGGATTATAGGTGTGCACTACAGAACCTGCCCTAATTTAAAACATGTACTCCAGAAATCTTCCTGATAGATTTTTTTTTAATGTCTGTACACACCAAATATCTTTTTTTGTAAGGGTGGGGGACTGAGATTTGAAACCAGTCTGAGGCTTGAACTCTACCACTTGGCTATATCCCCGCTCCTTTTTATTTTATTTATTTTTAAAATTTTGAGACAGGGGAGCCAGATGCAGTGATGCACACCTGTAATCCCAGCAGCTTGGGAGGCTGAGACAGGAGGATCGCAAGTTGAAAGCCAGCCTCAGAAATAGCAAGGTGCTAAGCTACTCAGTGAAACCCTGTTTCTAAATAAAATAGAAAATAGAGCTGGGGTTGTGGCTTAGTTATTGAATTACCCTGAGTTCCATTCCCGGTTTCCCCCCACCCAAAAAAAAATTTTTTTTTTAAAGAGAGAGAGAGAGAGAACGTTTTAATATTTTTTTTTAGTCATCGGCGGACACAACATCTTTGTTTGACAATGCCAGGTGAGTGCGCTACCACTTGAGCCACATCCCCAGCCCTTTTTTTTTTTTTTTGAGCAGAAAATGTCACAAAGGAATTGAGTACCCTCCTAAACTGGCCAGGCCAGCCTCAACATTTTGATCCTACTGCCTCAGTCTCCCTAATAGATTACAGGCATGTACCACTGTGCCTAGCTCTTTAAATATCTTTAGAATTTGCCTGTGAAGTTATTTTTCCTGAGAGGAATCTGATGGTACAGGCTGCTTGGTTAGTCAATGATATGAATGAAGTTGTTTACCAGTTGCAAAGTTCCCCAGAGTTCCCTCTAAGGTTATTGGTTGGGCTATAGTGACCTGTCTGTTCCACACAGCACCTGACCCCACTCTGAGGCTGCAGATGTGTGGGACAAAATTGGAAACCATTGTAGAACATTAGGGAAGACCAAGGGGCACCTATTCGTTCATATATATATATATTTTTTTTTTTTGTGCCAGGGATTGAACCCACTTAACCACTGAGCCACATTCCCACCCCTTTTTATTTTTATTTTGAGACAGTTCTTACTAGTTTGCATAGTCTTGCTAGGTTGCTGAGGCTGGCTTAGAACCTATGGTACTCCTGACTCAGCCTCCTGAACCTCTGGGATTACAGGTGTGGGCCACAAGGATCAGCTTACCTATTCATTCTTTACTCAGAAAATGAGTTACGGGCTGGGATTGTGACTCAGTGGTAGAGAACTTGCCTCTGATGTGTGAGCACTGGGTTCAATTCTCAATACCACATATAAAATAAATGAATAAAATAAAGGTCCATCAACAACTTTAAAAATATGAGTTGGGGAGCTGGGGTTGTGGTTCAGCAATAGAGCCCTCGCCTAGCACGTGCAAGGCCCTGGGTTCAATCCTCAGCACTACATAAAAAATAAATAAATAAATTGGGGCTGAGGTTGTAGTACCGTGGTAGCACGCTTGTCTAGCATGTGTGAGGCACTGGTTTTGATCCTCAGTACCACATATAAATAAATAAGATAAAACTATTAAAATAAATAAATTAAATAAATAAATAAATAAATAAGGGTATTGTGTCAACAATGTGTGTGTGTGTGTGTGTGTGTGTGTGTGTATATATATGAACCAAGGGTGGTGGTTTACATCTATAATCTCATATAATCTCAGCTACTCTCAGCTACTCAGGAGGCTGAAGCAGAGGATTATATGTTTGAGGCCAGCCAGCCTGGGCTATTTAGTGAGACCTTGTCTCAAAAAAAAAAAAAAAAAAAAAAAAGGTTTGGGGATGTAACTCAGTGAACTCAGTGGTAGATCAACACAAAAGTTGGGACCAGGTCCTGGGGATACAAGGGTAATGGGACTGCTGAAGTCCATAGTCTAGTTGACACGACTAACATTAATAAGAGGATCTCACCAACACATTTCTGGAGTGGGTACCATGATGGGAACGTGCCCCAGGGGAATGCAATCCGTATAGGAGGTGGGTGGAGGGAGTATTTGAAAAGCCTTGGGGCTGTCCCAAAGTGGCAAATGGGGCTGGGGCTGGGTGGTAGGTAAGGAGGAGTTTGGCCAGTGAGGGTGGGAGCAGAGCCTAGGGAGGCAGTTCCCCCCAGAGGGAACAGCGGGTGATGTCTAGAAGATCCTTGAGTCAGCAAGTGAGACTTTGAAGGGCTGGTGCGCGGCAGGAGGAGGGCGGGGTGCGGGGTGGGAGGCTTCTGTAGAGGTAAGCGGGATGGTTAGAGCGGGGCTTTGACAGCTAAGAGCCAAGCTAGGGGTTTCTCTGCAGATGGAGCTCTTTCACCCTCTCCTGAGAGCGCAGGAGAAGAGTGAGCAGGGGAAGGGTCCAGTTAGAAGGTACCCGGGGATGGTGTAAGGGGCGGAAGGTCAAGTCGAAAGGCGCCACTCGCGATGGCCATGAGGAGGGTCGCCCTGCAAGGCGATGAGACTCAGATTCTGCTCCAGAGCTGGAAAGTGAGAGGTGGCGGCAATCGGAAGGCGCAGAGCCTGAGGTTGACAGATGTTCTTAGGGACACAGAAAGGAGAAGAATGGAGATAGATAAGAAGATGGGCTCTGGGTTTTTCTGATAGAAGGGGAAGGGTGCAAGTGGACAGGAGGGTCCAGAAAGATAAAGATGCTAAAGGAAAGCCAACTGGGTAAGTTATCTGAGGAAGTGGAGTAGAAGTGTGTGGGGGGAGCAAAGAAGTAAACGACTCTGGTGAAGGAACCCTGAGGAGGTAAGTCAGTAAAAAAAGAAAATAAAATGAAAGAACTAGACTAATCACCCAGTGTGCTGTCCCAAAGTGGCAAATGGGGCTGGGGCCGGGGGTGGTGCTCCTTCCTACGGAGAAAGTTGCAGCCTCCAGGCAAGGACTCATTCCCAGAAGGTTCCAATAGGAGAGGCTATAGCGAAGGGGCACAGCGGAAAAGCGGGAAACTGATGATGTTAATGGGGTGTGTTATCACGGGATGTCTGGAGGCTCTGTGCAGGTTTGGGCTGGTCCCTGAGGTTTTGAACCCGTCCTGCCTACCCATCCCCTTCTCTATATGCAACAGAAATGCCGTTCACTCACTAGATCCAGGGCTCAGAGCTAATGCACCCGGCGCCCCATCTCACCCAGCCCCCAGAAAACCCCAAAGAGTGAAAGCGCCTTTCCGCTATTTTACGAGTAACGTAGGTGGAACTCAGAGAGGGCAGCCTTTCTCCCAACGCCACACAGGAATCGGGTCCTTTCTCAGGGGAGTACTCCCTGCCCAGGGTCCCCGCGCCATCTAGGCCCCCCTCTGGGAGGAGTCGGCCCGAGCCCCTCCTGCTCCCCGCCCTCCGAGGGGCGGCCCGGGGGGCGGGCGGAGGAAGTGAGCGCAGCGGGGAGG